TTTCAATATCATTCTTTTCATAGTATGTATTAAATAAATTAATATCTACTAGATAATTTAATGCTGATTTCGCTTCATTACCACCATATAGACTCTTAAGATTTTGTGTGCTCTCTAAATTAAAAACATTTCTTAATAAATTAGTATTATGGTCGTCAGTAGTGTTAAAATCAAATAATTTTTCTATGAGATATGCAATAAGCCAGTTGTGTTTTTTTAAATATGCCACCACTATCATATCTGGTTTGTAGTTTAATTCAAAATTAATAATTGGTTTGGAATTTTCAAAATTTCCATCATTGAAATGAAATTTATGATCATTAATGGATGCAATATTGCATAATTCATTGGTCAAACCCGATACTAATATTTCAAATAAGTTTATGTTCATTCCATTTGTGATTTGTTCTATTTTGTTTGGTAAAATACCTCTAATATGCACTAAATCTCCAATAATTTTTTCTAGTGGAACAAGTAAGTAATTGAATATATTTATTTCATTATCACAATTTAAATCCATATGGATTAACTCTTTTAGTTTTTGTAAATAGTCCCATAATTTTTGCAAATAATTTGGTTGTGTTGATGAAGGGTTAAAGCTAACATATGGATATTCTGCCAAAAGTTCAATGGTCTTCTTAAAATTCTCTTCTGTATGTTTTCCGATAATTTCTAAATTTGGCAATAAAATTCTTAGCTCTTCATTGAACTTTAAAATCTGTTTGAATCTATTCATATCATTTGGAAAATGTTCATTAATAATAATATCCATTAGACTAATATTATTAAAATTTCTGTTATATGTTCGATTATGTTCTTTCCAAACATTGAAGAAATCTATCAATTTGTTCAAATATATTTTAAAGGGGCTTTCTTCTTTCCAAGAAAAATCGTTCAAAACTGAAATTAAATCTGCAGACAAATTATAATCACTGCATGATGTTAAAATTAAATCCATCAAGACCATATTCTTATTTTGGTTGCAATCATAAAATGTAATATTTGTATTAATGATTTTATTTGAATTTATAGTATCACTATCCTCCAGAGAAAATGATACATCATAGGCCTCTAAAAATTTCTTAACAATGTATTTACTGGAAGAAAATTCAATTGTTGATGATTCTGTACCGTGATATAACTCATTTTTTCTACTAGATAAATTTCGTAATCTGAGTTTCATTTTCAAATAATTTTGTAAAAAATTAGCTCGTTTGGCTTCAAAGCTGTCTTGTATATGGTATCTCTGTAATTTCAAAAGTCGTTTATTGAGCCATTTCTTGAATTAAATTTCTCTAAATAAAAAAATATCATATAAGGAAAGACATAGATTAATAATGATTACGAATGAAAGAGGATTTATTTCAAACAATGATTTTTAAATAGTTTAAGTTATTAAATTTTATTAGAAGGCTAAATTAAGTATATTAATTCACAATTTACAACGGAAGACAAACACATTTACCAAAACAAACAAAATATTGATTTGTAAATAATTTTGATTGGCTCTGATTAAATCAAATCACGTTTTCAATGATTCATTCAAAATATCAGAAATATTATCATATGAATTTTCTTAAAATTATTATCTCAATAGGTGCACGTGATGCAACCACAAACTCAAGTAACATGGAATACTTTCATTACGATAATAAACAATTGAAACAAACTTACTTCAATTACATCACTAGCTTTCTGGAAATCTTCTTGAAGAAGGCACTGATTCACAAGACTTTGTGGAGGTGATAACAGAATGTTTATACATTCATCTGAAGAATCATTTCTAAAATTATCATTTATAAGCTTTAGGATAAAGACGAATCAATATATTCAAAGTACTATATTGATCAAAACTGAATATTTAATTGCATACCTAATTTCTGAATCTTTTCCTGATGAGGAATTTATAAGTTCCAACAAATTATTTTTATTCTTTTTACCATAGTGTGATAATAATTCTTTACGCCAAAAAGCATTTTCCACATATTCAGAGATTTTAGAAAAGTCTTCATTACATAGTAATTGATCATTTTTCTGACTTTGTGAAAATTTTGTTTTGGTAATATTGATGAATTTTCGAAGCAATGGTAAATAAGCTTCCACAAATTCCAAAGAACAAACAAATTTATCTTTTTTGAGCACATTGCACAATGATTCACATTCATTTTCATCATCCGTAAATGACTGCCACGATACATCTCCAAATTTCACAAATAATATTGAAAACATGTATTTTAAAACTTTTATACGTAATTCTAAAGAATTTAATTTATAAAATAGATTTTCAATATCTGCCAAAACTGTTTCCAACAAAAGACAGGAATTATGTAAAGGCAAAATGGCTTGAACACTTTTAGTGATTATAACATAAGCAGTGTATAAATCTTCTTCCCAAAAATATGATGATTTAAAACATTTTAATTGTAAATTTCTGTTTGTTTGTAATAAATTCATTATTCTATCATATTCCAAAGTTTGTAATTTGCACATATTATTCAAGATGTATAGCAGGCTCTTTTCATGTATATCTTTAAATAAATTATCTTTATCTTTGAGGCTATTTTCATAACAAAATCTTGCTATTGATATTTTTCTGTATAGTTCTTTACAATAGCAATAAATAAATGTTTGTTCTTCACCTGACTTTTCCAGTTGACTTACTAACTTCTCAAGAGGGTGAAAGTAGTTTACGCTTATTTCTTCATCTGATATCGATAACATAACCAAATGCAATAATTTTCCATTTAACGTGTCCATTAACTCAGTGCTAGAAATCTCATTTTTTTTAAATCCATTGATAATATTTATTATCCAATGAACATTATTCAGAAACATTTTATGAAGATATTTATAATAATAATCAGAGCTGTTATTCAATTCATAATTTAAAAAATTTATAATGTTTTCATGTGTATTTTGAGATAATAATGTTAAATATATATCATGAATTTTAGTTTTTTCTTCTCTTATGAGGCGTTGTATATGATAATAAATTTGTTTATATTGTTCTGTATTCCTAATATTTTTACTTTGGAGAAACGATAATAAACACAAAAGATTATCAACAGTATAATTAGCATCACTTTCTAAATTATTTGCTACGTCAAGAAACACATCTTCATATATATTATCGAGAACATTAGTTTGGTCATTTTCTGGAAATTCTGATTTTAATATATTAATAATAATACTTGTATATTTTGGACATATTTTCAATTCATTTCGAAGAACTTCAATATTTTGTTTTGATAAAGACAATGTCTGTTTTTCAATCAGCTGCTTATAGATATGAATCAAATCCTAAAAAGAAGATATATGATATGAAATATTTCTTATTTTACTGGCAGTATAATAGAAACTTACATTTTTTATTAAATCAATGTTCGTTGAAAACGTAGATATATATCTAACAATATCTGTAAAATCAGATATTTTACTATTATTCATATTATAATAGGAATATAAATCTTTCACAAACACGCTCAAGACTGCAACGCATAGCAATTTTCTTTTATTGTCTGTCGATGGTACAATTTAAAATTCGACCTATGACTAATAGTTCATAATGATTTATCGCCATAACAAATCTAAACGTAATCAAAGTTATTGTCATTATCGCATTCTAAATTTATATCTCTCACATGTACTTTGAAATGTCATTTGTCAAAACTAGTAAAGTTTGATTTTGATTCTGCCATATTTGTAAATGCAAGAATACTAATAGCGCACCATAGATGTCATTTCTATAGTATTTAATGCTTCTGACGACCATAGATAAAAAAAGAGTACAATCTTGCATGTTTACTTATCTATGCTTGCTTGTTCATGTGCGTTCGTTAGGTGTGGATGTACCTCATACCTCATGCCATGCGCTTGTGCTGTTGTCCCATAGACCTTATACAATACATGGACTGCTAGTTGAGCGCATAAAAAGTGTCAAAAGATGTTCTATGGTATGAGGGCATACGAGGGTAATTTTGCGGCCGAGATATGTCAAATACGAACACGAGCTTTACCGAGATTAGTCGAATGCACTCGATCGCTTAAATTTTACAGTTACTTGGGTTCACGTGATGTTTGATCGCTCGGGTTTTTAAACTAAAAGAGGATAAAAATATGCCTGTTGTAAAATTGTTAAAAGTAAAATGTCTTCTAAAATGTGTTTGGTCTGTGGTAAAGTTCCTGATTGCAGTAAAACCTGTTCTGAATGCTTCGCAAGTATTCCGGGAAATTCGACATTCATCGATATAAAAAATCGAGGATATCTTTCATATCCTTCCGATGAAATGTTTAAATTATATTTATATATAGAAACCCTAATTCGAAATTCTTTAAATTTAATGTACAAAAGTTCATATGAAAGCACGATTCTCCGAAAGTTGAATGACTTGGGACTTGCACATTTTTTTAGATCAAGCCATTTCCAGCAATTTGTCCAGCACTATCATGACCTTATCAACTTTGTCGCAAAAATGTATTTAACAATTAGAATGCACCATGAAGAACATAAAAAAAGCAAAGTTGATAAATATGTACGCCACTTTCACACAAAAATTGTGCTTTTTAAACATCAATAATAAATATATTACATTTAAACAAATATTTCATTGTTGCTTTCTAATTTCCCATAATAGCTCTAGCCAACTGTTCTTATTTTCAGTGAATTTTATAATATGTAAAATATTTTTTTAATTTTTTTTCTTATTTTCCTTAAACACTTTGTATAACTAAAATAAATAAATAAATATATAAATAGTTCATTACATTCATTAGTTTAACATAAATTGTATATTATATAATATTTTCCCAACAATTTCGAACACACGGACTTTCATTTGACGTTCAAGCGATTGAGTTTGACATATCTCGGCCGCAAAATTACCCTCGTTTGCCCTCATACCATAGAACATCTTTTGACACTTTTTTACTTGAGAAATGTATGGGGACTAGCAGTCCATGAAATTGTATAAGGTCTATGTGTTGTCCACAATAACTTAAAAACTGTCAATTCTTAACCAAAGATAATCTTGGGCTGTCAAGTGAAGCGAATTATGAAGGTTATGTCCATTATATTGTCTAGGGTTATGTCCGTTCTGTACTAATGTACTAATTTTATTCTCCTTTTGTAATATTTTATCTGAATATTGTTTTCGCATTGAGTATAAACTGGTATCACTTTCATGATTAAAAACTAGTAACTATAATGAGTCATTTTGCAACTCTTCAGTGTCGAAAATGCAGAGCTGTATTGTACGAAAACGAATTCGTTTTCGATGGACATGGAGCAAAAATAAATAAAAATAGTGAATCAAACTGCAAAACAGCTCTTGACAGATTTTGTTTTCATGAAGAAAATCTTCCAAGTTGGATGCTTTCTGCTATTGAAACTTCCCAGTGGACTAAAGGAAAAATTAACTGCCCAAAATGTGGCATTAAAATAGGTTCATTTGATTTTGTATCAGGAAATAAATGTGAATGTGCTGAATATGTAATACCTCCAATTTATGTTATTAAAAGCAAAACAGATATATTATTGAAGTAATTAGGAAAAATTATAAAATGCAATTTTCTCATAAAAGATTTATTATTTTTGAAAAGTGTTTTCTTTTATACCCGGTCAAGTTCTTCTATAAATAGTCGGCATTTATTCTTAAGAACTCTTACAGCTTCAATAAAAATTACTTCAGGTCTCAGAGCTCCTGCAGATTCAATATTAACTGAAAAAAAAAGTTTAAAGCCTTTACACATATTTAAAATTTATAGGCTAGTACTAATGATTTAAAATTAATGCACTACTTTGGTATGTTTAAAGTCTAACCATAATTGCAAGTTGGTGGGTTAAATTTTATTAACAATTCAGTAATAGTAGCTTGTTTTAAAATTCTAATTAATGTATAAATAGTTAGTTTGTATTTAACTCACATATATAATGATCACGAACTCTACTCATAATAACTGCATCAGCTAGGTTTGGATATCTATATACATTCCTGCTGCATGTATCATATCTGGCATCTTTTACAAAGGCTGCTCTATTTCCATCTTCAGTTTTATGAATTTCTATGACACCAGGAGAAAAACATTTCTGCAGCAATTGAGCTTCATCATTTAAAACTGGCCGAGTTAAATAAATTTCTGGCAGCAATCTATAGAATGCTGTTGCTGAATTACAAAATAATTTTTAGCATCGTTTTTGTAAGTAAAGTAAATCATCATTGTAGTAAGCTTTTAAATATATTTTAATAAAGCTAAGCAAAGACCTTAAATTATAAAATAAATAAAATATTAATTTTTTACAGTAATAATAATAAACAATATTGAAACATTTACATTCTAGTTTATAAGCAATTTGAATGAATTACAGAAGTATGCTTGAAATAAACAAAAGTATTTAATATATTTGAATAAACATACCTACTGGAGAAAACTTTGCATGATCTTTACCAACACCCTTAACAGCCAACAATTTTAAGTCTATTTCATGCCCTGGCCTCATTTTACTTATTAATATATCATTTTCTACAGGTCCTACATCCTCAGCAGAGTAAATAGTATTTTGAGATCCCTTGGGAATCCATTTGATCATGCCAGAATATACTAATAATAAAGATTTTATAGTTTTTGTAAATATAAAATGAATATCAGCAATGTGACCAATACATACCATTGTGATTGTTATATAAATCTTCAAATCGAATAGAATCATTTTGGTTACTTGTCTTCTTGGTGCATTTAACTTTGAGCTCAAATTCTAAAGTATCACGTTCTGTTCCTTCATCAGATTCTTGAAAAAAAGTAGAGAAATCAATAATAAATAAATAATTAAATGCGAAAGTTTTATATAAAACGTATTTCTCATATTTTATATTAGGCATTTCAGTTTTTATCTGAATATTTATCCATACATATATACTATATACTAATACAACATATTTAAATAATAATAAGTTAATTGTGTTCATAACATTGTTTTTTTCTACTTATAGTTTTGTTTTAAATTTTGTTTATTTTAAAAGTTTTATTATTTATACACAATAATTGTTGTTTGTTATTGTTTATTAAAACTATTTTTAAGTATTCACATCAAAGATGAATAAAATCATGACTCAACATTAATTCAACGCAAAAAGTATGCTCATTAAAAACAATATAATGTAAAATTAATTTATGTGATTGTAAATCTGTAAAAAACCCACTTAGCTAGCGAAACTAATTGGTATTAGAGAAGTAAAAAGTATAAAAATTATATGTAGAGTTTCATTTTAAATTTATGGAAACTCCATTATATATATATAGCGAACATTATAATTTAGAAGTAGGATTTTAATAAGCCTAAAATACCTTCTGATTTATATTCAAATAGTCTAGGATCTGCTCTTAAAGGAATAAGACCTAAACGATGAGCCAATACTTCATCTTGTATTATAGATGTATTATTATATATATAAACTTTTTTCTATAGCCATGGTTGGCACTTCACTTAACATTAATCTTCGAAAAGCATTAGCAATAGCTGGTCTCACTCCGATCATATCAAATTCCATTTCCAATGCTTCCATTCGAACGATGACAATTTTTAAATCAGATTTAAATTTTTTAAAACTCCATTGTTCATCATCAAATCCATAATCATTTGCTGCTTGCTAAAACGTATAGATGTTACAAAAGTGTTAACACTTTTCCTTGATTGGTTTAACTTACTTTTAACTTATGTTCTTCTAAAAAGCTCCTTGGCTTTTGATCAACATTCATGATGTTTTTAATTATGATATGTAGATACCCCTATATTGTCTTAAGTCTTTAGCACTTGATATTGAAATATCAAAGGCTTGTTAATTGACGACTTATTGATTGTAAAAGAAAATTAGTTGCATGTTGCATTAAATATCTGAAAGAGGTTATGGAGGTTATTAAAATACGTTTATCGCTTTTATCTATCTTTACAACCAGTTTATATTTCTTTTATCTGGGATTGCAACCATGCCCAATCCCTTTGTTTATTTATCTATGCCAAATCTGACAAAAAGAGCCATAAACTTTGCCTGGCAACACTCTTAGGGCCTCTTAGGGTGACAGCACCATATATATTATTATACTACATTATACTATATACTACATTATACTTGTTTATCCATGGGGAGTTATCTTCGAACAAATGCGCGTTGCACTGTTTTGGTCCTGAGTAGTTTCAATTTTTAAAAACAGATGGCTCATGTGCACTCAATTTCAACTACAAATTGTTCGTGGTTCATGCAAGTGGCTGTCAAGTATTTGATCGCTGTATGGCTGTACGAATAACCTAACTTTTTGAACTCGTGTTGTTTCTAATTAATTAATTTTGTTTAAGTGAACATTTGTGAAATTTAATATGGCAAAGTGTTTTTATAGTACCCAAAAAAGTGTCAAGTGCGGGTTAAAATATTTAGCTATTCCAATACAAGTTTCCGCAAAGGTATTTTTTAATAATAATTGCAGCAATAATTATATATAATCAAGATATGTCAACATGTTATTATATTCAATAGGTGTCTTGGGGGTACCTGCAAATTGCTGCAAAATGCACGAACAAAGCGCAGGAGTACTTTTGACAACTAAGGAATGCAATATGTAATGACAAGAAGGATTCATAAACAATGCAATAATTTAAGGAATAAGTCGTACAAAAAGTCTCCAAAGGTCTACTATTTTTGGAGACAAATATTTATTTTGCCATGTCCTCAAACATTGAGAAAGTTGCATTCAGAGATACAAGTGTATAGCGGTATTTATGAGTGTCTATTTAAAACATTAGGTTCAGCTATTTCTTTTAAAAAGTATTTGTAGCAGATACTGTGTTTTGATGTTTGATGAAATACCATTATCTCGGAATTGTTATATGATTGGATTGGATCTCATATTGTTGAAGTTGCAAAACAGTTATTCAGCTAGTATGGTTTAAATGTTCATCAACGTAAGTTCATTGTTATATTTAATAAGATTATCTATTACATTAGCAATGTAAACACTTATAAAGAGAGTCTATACCATACATAATATTTTAATGTATTTTGATTGAAGATTAGGTTATAATATTCTTCAAATAAAACTTGTGTAACATCCCAATATAATGTTTAAATTCAAGATATATTTGTTACCGACCTTAAGAATCAAAAATATTGCTTTTATCTTTTGATTCATAAACAATTGTATGTGCATAAAACATATTCTGTTCATTGTAAACACTTTGTTGATCTTTTATGGCAATTTCAATGATAATGTTTTCATGATGGAACATGGCTAAATGTAATGTTATAAAACACTCGTACAGAAACTATTCAAAGGTTTTGTTAAATGCAACTTTACTATTAATTCATTAGATAGCGAAATAACTATTACATGCAGAATTAATAAAGAACAATGTCTCGTAAATGAGTTTTAATCCTAGGAATTTGAATTTCTCTCAATTTTGATATCAATATATATTTTATGTTTTTAGGACTTTTTGTTTGTGAAGTATTTGTACTTTTTAACAAATTATTTGTTTTTTTCTTAACCCTTTAAATTTTTGTATTTGTCATTCCTTCTAAATTTGTAATTTCATTGCGTGCTTCTGTGCTTGTAGTTTCTTCTTAGTTTTTAAGATTTTAATATATTAATATTAGTCATTAAGTAATTAATATTAGTCAGTTATTTGTGCTTAGTTTAGTTAAATACTTCTGTGATTTTCTTCACTTAGATATTTAGTTTTTGAAATATTATTTAAGCATAATTGTGAAATTATAATACTTTTATAATTATGTATAATAATTATTATATTTTCAAACATTCCATAACTGTAATTATAATTGTTAATATAAACATAATTTTAATTGTTCTTTAAACATATGTAATATCTTTGAAAATATATATTTTGTATTTCGTATGATTTGTTCTTATTTCCAATATTAAAAATTATTCAGGTTTTTGGGGCTGTATACGATACGTACAAATTAAGAAGTAGAACCAGGGGTATTAAAATCATAGATAAGTAAACATAACTAGATCGCTATCTGAGGCCATTTGACATTACCGCCATTTTAATATTTTTAGCGATCTAAAGGAGGCAGCACTTGTTCAGTATATAAATCAACCGCTGGTATTATTCCTAGATATGGTTCGCATACGTAATTCAAAATAAGAAAACCTAAATAATTTCTTATATTGGAAATGAGAAAAAAAATATACGAAGTACAAAATATATTTTCAAATATATCACAAACATTTTTACATAACAATTAAATTTTTTATAAATGTAATAATCAATATATACACAATAATAAGTATTATAATTTTACATTTATAAATAACTAAAAAAAGTATTCACAATGGTATGATAAATTTACAAGGAACGATCAATATGATTTACTTAATGATCAATAATATATAACAGAGATTGTGTAGTTCGGAATAACAAATTCAGAAGGAATCACAAATAATGCAAAAATTTAAAAAGTTAAAAAGTACAAATACTTCATAAACAAAAAATCATAAGAACATAATATAATAATATTATAAATAATATTT